CAGACAGGAAGTGACATCATATACAACATGCGCGTATTTGACCAATCAAAGAGAAACCAAGGAGCTGAGAGCATCATCCATATTTCATGCCGCAAAACTTGTTGTCCCTTTGGTCCGACTTTTGTTTCTATTTTTTTTTTTTTTTCTATTTATTTTGAGATGTGTCAATCTGTTCTTGTTGCTGCTGTTGGCTTCTCCGTTTTCGGGAGAGGGAGTATTTATTTTCTGTAATTAGCTACTGGCGTTTTACGTTTCTTTTTGTTTTGAGGAACCATACCTCCTTGATTAGATCCTTGGGGAGTATTTTTGTTTGCGTTATCTAAAAATTCCTCTGGTTCCTCTGCTATCGCTTGGAGGTCGCCATTCCCTTCTTCCTTCTCTTTCTTGTCTTCTTTATCCTCCAATCCACCTGAATTAAGCTTTTCACTTGTCCTCCCTTTATTTTGCAATGCTTGACCTTTAAATACATAACAAATCATTTTTAAAGTCAAGTAATGTTGTATAATGTCAATCTGGCGCTGGGTTCCGTTGCGTGAAGTGTGCTGCTTATTTCGTTTGGATGCATAAAGTACTTACTAGTCGATTGTTGTTTTTACTCTTGACAACTACTTTGAAAGCAAGCCGGAAAGTTTTTCCTTTTCAGTTATAGATTAATATGAAAACTTGAAAGGATAGCGATTTTTTTATGTTATAGATTTACTTTTCCATATTTTAACTATTTTTTTGACATTACTAAGTGTTAGGGAAAGAAATGTAAGCTTAAGAATGATATATACAAACATCATTGTCATGTTACTGGGTTTTAGACTCGAGGTTTATATTAAGGTGTAGGCGATATTGATCAACATTGTTGGCCCTGAATTGTTAATTAAGGATGGGTTAGAAACTTACAGTCAATGTGATACTGCCTCGTTGTGAGAATTACAGCAAAGATAAAAAGAAGTGTCGATCTTCGCATGGTTGTCCTGTCCGTAGCTTCAAAGAGACTTTTAAATTACCTTTCAAATCTAAAGACAAAAATATTCTGGTCTTGCAACTTGTAGCACCATTCATACTCTAGATAAAAGTGACTTTTGTAATCTAACACAGCATGTGTTAACAGGTGGAAATAACTAAAGGTTACGGTTCTGTGTTTTGACGTCGAAAGTACCCTTCACAAAACATATCCAAGAAAAACAACTATTGGCATTCACTCAAAATAGATCATGATGTATGGAAATAGTTAATGATAAATATTTACCTATTTACTTTGGCTTGCAAGTAAACTGTCACGTGTACAAGGTTATCAAATCGTCTAACGTTTTTCTCAATCGAAAACAAAATAATAGTTCTTTTCAGAAATAGCCTGACATGACTGAACCCTTCTAGACAAAACTGGCTAACTACTCATCAAGGTGATAATCAATTATTACATACATTTAAAGTTAAGAGACGTTGATGGCGACTGGAGTTATGCAAAATCAGAACTGAATCTCTTCAAACGCGTCTTGAAAATATCGTATTTAGTGGGTGAACCGATCCATTTTATGTTTGCTCTCACCGAATCTTGTTCACATGATAAATAATTTAGAAATGGTTAGAATGGTTTGCATCGTTGAGCAAGACCCGGAAACTGTTGACGTTTACGAAATTGAGGACAGCCGATGTCCTGGTTTTCGCAAAAATGTCTCAAGCACACGTTGGTTTGACATGATGTCTTTGCCTTCTGATCACGTGATGACGGCCAGTATCCCGCCTTGATGACCATATTCTGAACAGGAAGCATTTGATCCTTACACACTGCGTCTTCCATACAAGGTATGCACGTTTTGCCTGAGCCGTAGTATCTAACATCGCAGATGTGTAGACGCTAATGATAGACTAACAGTTAGGATCCAAAATCACTAATCCATTGTATTTTTTCAGACGGGCATTGGGGCATTTTCATATCTGAAGGATTTCTGCCCGTGAAAGTTGTAGAATCAACCCTCATGTAGCTCAATTCGCCTTCTCGTTCAGCTTCATACATGTAAGGATTGACTGAAATATTAGTAATTCCAGAGGAGGTAAACGTGCAAAAAATTGAGATTTCCCCAGAAAGGTTGTTTCGCAGAAACATCGAGATCACGGGGAAACTGACACCAGGGGTTAGGGGGGTGGGGGTTGTTGGGAGACCAAGGAAATCGTCCTGTCAACCCAATAATTTCAACAACATTTCACTGGGATTATGCCAGGAAAATTGCACTGGCTGATGTTAGAATGCTCAAAGATCCTGTCCATTCCATCGTCCCTAAGAGGGTATACTGATATTCATAGTGATTTGATTATTGTCAGCAAGAAGAAGTACATGTACTTCTGATGATTTAATTCCCTTCTCGAACGATGACAGCCGATCCTACTGCAGTCACCGACTTGAAGCGTACGGATTGCACCGACGCTTTTGAGTATTTGTACTAAAATTTTGGTTCAGTTCCTCGCCAAATCACGTAAAACAGTTAGGGAGCGCTCTTGATGGCGTAAGTGTGGTAATTATTTTTAAAAGCACAACAACGCTTTTCAGGGTTTGGAACATGTTTTAATGTTTCAAACACAAATCTACAGAGTGATCGGTAAATATAAAAGTCTATATTATGATTCCTTATAGTTTCAAATAAATGTAAAATGTTCTAAGCTAACCAATAATACATAGATTTAGCTAAGCCTAAAAAGCGGAGCTCCCATAAAATACTAATCATTTTAACCCTTTGAATGCCAACTACGCATATATATGCGTAATTAATGGTCGTACTCTTTGTACCACTTGTGACGTCATCAATTTAAATGTCATCAGATATTCTTGATAAGCAGATAGTAGTACTAGGCTAGACCTTTCCGTACAATGGTCAGGTTTGGATATCGACGACATTCCGACGTCGCAAATCGAAAAACAACGTTATCAGTTTTGGTGCAAAAACGGTTGTAAAATGGTCCACTACGCCTATGATTGATCAAGGCCCATTTCTGGGCTTCGCACGTAATTAACATCCAATTTTTCACGGCAGCCAGAACTGAAGAACATGCAATGCAAAAGGTAGCCAGTGTAAAAGGGCCGAGCAAAACAGAAAGGAAAGGGGCAACAAACAAAATTGAGAACGGTTAATGGCAACAAAAAAAAGAAGAAGAAGAAAAGTCCAAATTTTGGCTTATGCGCATGCCCGTAATTGAAATTTTGCTCAATTTTGTACCTAATCCTCGAAAAATCTCTCCTTTTAGTGAAAAAAAGCTTTCTTAGCAAAACTTAGGCTTATTTAGCGTCGTGGCAGCTAAAAATCCTGACTAAATGCTTAAAAACGGTATTTTTTAGCGAAAGTTTGCAACACAGTAACCTTTATTCACCAATAAGCATTTAACCAAACCGAATGAACTAAACAAACAAAATCATTTTGCAATCATTTTTAAAGCCGTATAGCTTTACCAGTTATTCAAAACATCGAATCCAGCTTCAAAACAGCACTTTACATTACCAATTTGTTTTCTAAAGTCCTGAAAGCTGCATTAAATCCGTTATCTGTATTCAAACCTCGGTTGAAAGCCCACTGATGGTCATGTCTTTCGGCCGTTCGGCCGTGGAAGGAAAGAAAAGTTTCCCATTCAGGTATTCTCCACTAGGCAAGGTTTTTATAGCTCTCTACCCCTTGATGTTCCACGTAGGTACCTCTTGAACACTGTTTGGTTCTCTTATTTTCTTTTTTCTTTTTTTTTTCGTTTTTAGGCCAAAAGAGGTAATAAGGTATGGGGCTACGCTCGCGCGCCTTTGGCGCGAGGGATTTTCGCTAATGACCCAGAAAGAAACTATAGCGAAAATAAGCGGTCAAGTTAAACTAACATGCTCAACTTGTTTATTTAATTCTGGTTTCAACCGTTTAACAAAACATTTCAACTGCTCTAAGAATTGTGGAGGCATTTGCGATTTTTTTTTCCAAATTATTAATTATGCTAAGAGTTACTCTCAACTTAAGATAAAAGAGATTTTCATATTGTCAGTTGACTCTATTTTTGGCTTACAGTGTGACAGAGATTTTCTTCCCTAACTCCTAACTCTGATCGTTGGGATACTTGTAAATCATGACTATAGCCCCACTGGAAATTGATCATACAAGAGCCTTTTAGTAGCTATAGCTGTATATTTTGAACAGTTCCCTTGCCATAAGTATCACTCTGTGGCGACGTGCTCAGGCTCTTCTTGTGACGACCATAGTTAATAGAGGAGACTGCTTATGAAGCCCCACAGACATCAAAGGAGCAAACAGAGATGCCAAGATTTATGTTGGAAGGTCCCCGACCGTGCACAATCTTTTGTTGTGCGCTCATACACTATGCACGAATTACGTAACCAACACGTTTCTATTGGTTAGTTTCTCAGTACGGAGAAAACAACTATTACGTTTTGTGCACGGTCAAGGCGAAAAAAACGAACAAAAACATACAACAAAGAACGTTGTCGAGTTTCATGACCATTCCCCTCTATTAACTTTGTGACGACAAAGCAAAACTAAGCGAAACAAATGAAAACCGCGCAATACAATCGAGATCTCTAGATCTAGAAAAAGTAGAAACAGAATTAATGAAGACTAAACAATGACAGCATTTTTTTGCCTAAAATCCGGAAAAAATTATCTGTCATTTTTATGCTATTTTGAACATTTGTTAGAAAAACATACTGAAACATACCTCTTGTTTTACACTGATTATCGTGCTGCACAATCGTGAGCAAGTCTAATGTACAAATACATCTTTACCCGTAGCTTAAAATCCCCAAACCTGTATGTACAAGAAAGCGTTGTCAGTAACATTGTTTCAACGAAAACTAACGGTGTATTATTATATTTATTAGCGAAGGGAAGGGTAATTACCCTAAAAAATAATCATCATCACAGCAAAAGCGGAAAACATCATGCAAGGCACACAAAATGGAACAAGCCAAGCTGGAAAAACAGTTTTGCTTATAAAAAACGTCCCAATCTCCTCCTCCTCCTCCTCCT